GTTAAGAAAATGTTGTGGTGGGTTGTATGGTTCCATGAAGTTTGGTGCATGTGTAAGAATATGTGGTTGTTCGTCCTCTGAATCATCTTGTTGTTGGCTGAGAATTTCATATTCATCTTCGTCCTCACTAAAAGGATCAACGACTTCAATTGGGAGGCCAACAGTTTCGTTCTCTTGTGTGGGTAGTTCTTCGTTGATGTTGGTGGAAGACCCACTTAGAAGTTGGGCAAAAGAGATGTAGTCATTGTCTGTGGGTATTTCTGGGTCAGTGTTTGGGAAAACTTGGTAGGGTGAATGTGAGATTTCAAGTGAGTGTGTGTTGGGGTATGAAGAAGAAGAAGTTTTAAATGTAACAAAAATTTCAATACCACATAGACTTGAGTTTGAATCATGAACATCGAACATGGCCTCCACGTCGTCATCATCTTTCAACTCAACAGCAATGAAGTTGTTAATCCCAACTCCGAGTCTATTTGGGCAGCAAAAATGGATGGTTGCTACATTTTCGTGGGGTTCTTTCTCCAATTTCCTATGGATCAACTTCTTCAACCTTTGTAGAGAAATTCCTCTCTTTAAAGGAACAAGTTTTGCAGTTCCAGTATTGAAGGTAACTCCCTCCATGGGACATGGGTTTATGAAACCATCATAATGGACAATTGTAGACACTACACCCATTTTAGGAGTGTGGAACAAAAATAATACTAAAGATAAGAAGAAGAAATAATGCAAAAAGCTTCAGAGATTTAGGAGTATGCAATGTGAGAACTTCAAAGAATGAAAGTGGTCTATTTATAATGAAGTCCAATGGTTTGAATCCAATGCTCCCTCACATGGTTTCTGACGCACACAAAACCCAAGCAAAGTGGGTGGGTCAACATCTCTTTAAATATGCTTGGATTCTTTTGCTTTTGTCTAACCCAATGCAGGGAATCCAAGATTGGAATCCTAACTTGGGTGGGTGACTCAGCATTAGATTCCTTACTTATGTGCATCAGAAAGGCATGAGAATCCTGACTTGGGTGGGTGACTTAGCATTGTAAATAGTTGCAGGTTTCCTCGCTCAAGCGATGGATTTCTCGCTTGAGCAAGAATTGACCACAGGTTAAACGTCCAACGCAGTTAGTCACATAATGCAACTTGGGTCACCACATATTTCAATCACTTCTCGCTCAAGCAAAAGTACCCGTCGTTTGAGCGAGAATTGACCCGAGATTACCCATTTGTTACAGGTTTCCTCGCTCAAGCGAAGTATTTCTTTGCTTGAGCGAGAGAGAAATAATCGATCATAATTTTGTATATTCGATTATTTTAAAATTATGATCGATTAGCTCAAATTATAATCGATTATAAATTTCTTTACTCGAACGATGGATGTCTCGCTTGAGTGAGAATTGACCACGGTCCAACGCAGTTACCCAATTAATTCTCGCTTGAGCGAAGTAACCCATCGCTTGAGCGAGAATTGACCACAGGCTAAATGTCCAACGCAGTTAGCCACATAATGCAACTTAGATCACCACATATTTCAATCATTTCTCGCTCAAGCGAAAGTACCTATCGCTTGAGCGAGAATTGACCCGAGATTAACCATTTGTTACATGTCTCCTCGCTCAAGCGAATGGTTTCTTCGCTTGAGCGAGAGTTGATTTTGGGAAATATTTTTAAAAATAGTATTATTTATGAAAAAAAGTCTACAAATTATGACATGAAAATGATATGTTTTCTAATATGAAATTATTCAAATAAAACAAACTAATTTAAAAATATTATGTTCCTTAAAAATAATTAAACATATCATCCTTAGATATTTTTAAAAATTAACATTAAAAAAAATTGTTTGAAAAGGATTGTATTAAAATCCAATGGGTTAAATTTACTCTCTTTTTTCTTTTAACTATCTTCTAATGAAATTCTATCATTATTTTATTTTTGTTACGAATCGAAATATTTTCAAATCCTAAGTATCTTCTATTATTCTTAGACTATTGCATTTGAAAAAAGAGAGTCAATAATAAAAAATTCAGGTTTATAATTAATTTTTATTCACTCCGGTTGGAAAAATAGTTATGAGGAATGTTTTTAAAATTAGTTTAAGGTTTAATACTTTAAAATTGATGATTTAATAAATTTTAGTTAAGATTTAATAAAATAATATTTTTATAATATAATAAGTATATAATAAATTTATTAAAAAAATAAAAAATTTTAAAAAAATATTGTTATGATTATTTTAAATTATAATAAAGATTAGAAATATAAAATATATAATAAAGAATGTAAAATAAATAATTATTAAAATAAAATAAAAATATAATAAAATAATTATTATTTAAAATTGATAAAATTATAAAAAATAAAAAAATGTTATATATTTTATAAAATAATTATATTAAAAATTTGATCTTAAATTTTTATTTTTATTTTTATTAAAATTAATTTGATTGAAAAATTTATTTTATTTTTATTTTATTTTATCTTAATTTAATTAGAATCTGTCTATTTAAAAATAACAAACTAATTTTTAGATGATTAAATCAATTTTTTATTAGACCGATTCAATCGGCCTCCTAAATTTTATTTTCAAAACTGTGGATAAAAGAATCAACTTACCACCAGGTCCATATGCGATCAAGTCAAAATTACATATAATTGAGACCTCATGCTTAAGGATGAAACTTGACCATTAATCAGGAATAAAATAATATATTATTAATAAAAAATAAATTTATAAATATAAAAATAAATATATTTTAATAATTATTAAATTTGAGCTATAATCATTATGAGAATCATACCCCGATAAGCTCCACCATCGCTATTTTTTTTTTCGGATGAACAACCATAATTCTCTCTCCTTTATTATGAAAACCTTCACATGATAAAGAAATGCTTCACACAAGTACAATTTCAGTGCCTTTGTATTGTGAATATTAAAATATAGATTAATTATCACTAATTCATTCATCTTAAGAATAATTTTTTGTTATTATTTTTATTATTTAATTTTTTAAAATTTAATAATATAAAATAATAATTAATCCTAATTATTTAATTATAAAAGCAACTACTAAAATAAAAAATAAATGTCCAATTTTTACTTTCAAAATGAATCCTAACTTTAAATAAGTTTAACTTAGTAAGTCTATTTTATTTTTAACTTTTTTTCATTATTTTTTAAAATAAAATATATTATTTTAACATCGATTTCCATGTTGACATCACGTTAAAACCTTAAAAGTTTTTTTTGTTTTCCTTGAAACGAAACATCCCTCTACAGGCATAAGCTTACGCCTCTAGTAAGAATGACAGAGTGATAATGGAAAAGAAAATCAAAGATTTCAAACAGTGAAAATATATTATGGCCACCTTAAAATTAAACATATTTATAATTCGCTTATTTAACGTGATATTTTTTTTTTCACTACGAGATTAATTTCTTTAAAGTTCAGAAACTGTCGAATATTAATAATAATTGAAATATCTCATTAAACTCTATTATTCAATATAATGTGTAGTATATAAAAATATTATAATGCATTCGATTATCCTTAAATCCTACACGTATACTTCAAAGAATATTATTTATTAATTAATATGGACATGTATAAAAATTCTTATAAATTGAATAATGTATAAAATTTATTAAAATCATATTTTGTTTATTTAATTATCTTGTTATGTTATTTTATTAATTATTTTTTATACGTTTATCTTATATAGATCATTATTATTTTTTGAGATATAGTTATTATATTATTATTTTATAAGTCCAGATATTTAATTAGATAGTAAATATCATTTAATTATTTATTCTCAATTATATTATTCTCTTATTTAAAATTTATTTGGGCATCAAGATATGTTTTAGTAAATATTTATTTTTCAAAAAAAAAACTACTTTTAATCAATCAATTACAACTCTTTATTTGATTTACCGATCTTTTTATTTATATATATATATATATATATATATATATATATATATATTTTATGTTAATTTTTTAATTATTTTTAAAATCAATTATTACAACTTAAAAAAAAACTATTTTTAAAATATAAAATAAAATCAAACATTTATTTCGTAACTAAAAAAATATGATAAACCCAACTTTGTACCTGACCCTCACAACATCAAACTATACTTAAAATAGTTCATCGTGAGTCCTAACAACAATAATAACATATTTACATATGACACTTAATATAGGTTTAGATAATTTTATATTTGATTCTAAAGTTCTTAACTTTTTATTTTTTACAATTAAGTTCTTAGCGTTATACATTTAAATCATCGTCTACGCATAACACAGGATGAAATATATACTAATATCTCAGGAAAAAAAAAAAGGAAGAAGATGAAATTGCTTGAGGTATGAAGAAATATTAATTAAATAATTAATGTTCTCATATCTTTTTATTAATATAACTACATTATTAAATAACTTGAATTTCTTTAATTGCCTTAATTTCTAATAATAAACTCTCAACTTCAAAAATTAATTCCAAGATATTCTAGATATATATCATTTCAAACTAATTTCTACAAACAATAAAAAAATATCATTATATTCAAATATATAATATCCTTCATTATTTTTTGAAGATTTTAAATGTGAGAACTCCATTTTTCCCTTAGTTTTTATTAACTTGACTAGAATAATCATAATTAACTTAATTTATGGTCAAAAAGAGTTCTCTCTTCATTTTTTTACTTAATTAATTTTATTTATGACTAAATTAATTATTTAAATTATGTTATTAATTAAGTTGAATTGACTCTTGAAAAAAATACACAGAAATTCATGTAATATTTATTTATTTTAAATTAAGTTCCACTAAAAAATGATGTCAATCAAGAACATCATAAATTAGCAAAAACACAGGGGCTAAAATCTAGAGCTAAGTCGCCAGAAATTGTCACATATGATCATCTTGTTGACCAAAAACCTTATCCCCAAACCCTACAACGATGTTAAAATACCCTAGTTTTTCTTCATCTTCTACTTTTGAAGCTTCTTCTTGAAAATTGACGTTGAAAAGCAGAAGCATCCCTTCAAATTACGGTTAGAACCTTCCTTCGCTTGAGAATCTACATCCATTTGATCCTTCATCGCTTCTAGTATCTCTTCTGCATCCACATCAGTTTCAATTTTGGTTATTTGTGCTTTTGGTAATTCGTTAACATTAACGACATTGACAATGTTATCTTCTTCATCTTCCTGAATAATAGACGAGGAGGCGAGGTTGCACGTTTCAACATTGGGTTCCTTCATGGGAATTTTGTGTTTCTCATCTTGGTTGAAAAGGGTGCTAGGGTCTATGGTATCACATGATTTCCACTGCGACTCTAAGGCGCAAGAGGGTTCTTCATTTCTTGAAGGAGGGTAGGATTTGGCACGACGAAGGTTAGGGTTGAAGGTGGAAGAAGAGGGCTGAAAAATAGCATTGGGTGCAATGGTGGTAGTGGAGAAAGTGGGGCCCTTGTGGATGGAGGATGAAGAGTTGTGCCCTAAAACGGCTAGTCGTTCACAAAGACATGATGAGCAAAAGCCGATGAATTGATCCTCTGGGTGGCGGGCACAAGAGGTGGAGGGATAATGGGGTTGCATTTGCATAGGTTGTTGCAGTTGCAACAATGGTGGTGGTAACGATGGTAATGGCTGGAAAGAGGAAAAGGAGTTGTAGCCAAGTATGGTTAGGCGTTCATGGAGACATGCTGGGCAGAAACCGGTGAACTGCTCTTCTTGGTGACGGTTACAAGAGGTTGAGGGGTGATTAGGTTTCATGGATTACAACAATGGTGGTAACGGTTGATAAGGGAGTAACGATGATGATAGTGGAGATGACGAGAGGCTTTGTAATCATAAACAATGGTGTGTGGTTGTTGAAAGCATCATCAGTTTCATTAGAAGGTGTGAGTCTGAGTTGTGAGAGGTTTTGTGAGGAAAATATATGAGAATGGTTTAAAGATTTGTAAGAGAAAATGGAGATGGTTTGATTTCAATGAACTATTTAAAAAAAGTGAAATCAGATATTAAATGGGATTCACAGAAATTTATAGAAGAAAGATAAATGTATAATTTAAGGACATAATTTATTGCGAAGATTATTTAATTTCTAATTATATTATTATTATTATTATTATTATTATTATTATTATTATTATTATTATTATTATTATTATAGTAGTAAAAATATAATATAAAATGAAGTTAAATAGAAACAAAAGAGTTAAATCATTAATTTTTTATTTATTTTGAACTCTCTTTTCTTTTCTTTTTTTCATTTTATCTAGAATGAGATTAATTCCGTTTATGATAATGTAACTGTCATAACCGCACCGACAATTTTTTTTAACTGTAAGAATTGAATAGGTTTCTTGTTATACGGTAGAAATCATTAATTAGAAATTATTATGAATTGTAAATTATATTTTTATAATATTTATCTTTAAAATTGTTAGTGAAATAACTTCGAACAAATTGATACAATATATCATAATTTAGTTCATGTAGTAAAATAATATATATTCTTGATGATTTTTGCACAATCTATGGTAAATATTTCTAAGATTAATTTTCTTCAAAATGATATTGTTTGAATTGAAAAACATTTATAGTGTTTCAAAGATAAATCAAAACCATTTTTAATAAATTAAATTTATTTGATTAAAAGATAAATATACCCATTTTGTCCCATAGTAACTACAGTTTAATGATTACACTCGTATAAAAAAAAATTCACTTTTTATGCAATTTTAGTAAAATGGTGTCACTTTTTTCATAAATGTATCATTTTGCAGAGAAATAATTAATTGAAGAAATATAAGGAAGCAAAAACAATTAACATTTAATTAAAATATTTTTAAAAAATTGAATTGTTTTTATTTTTTATATATACGAGTGGAGTTTAAAGTGAAGCATATAATATGTATGAGATAATTAAGTAGAAAAAGTTTAATGAAAATTTATGTTAGTGTTAATGGGAAATCGATAAATGGATCGAAAAACGAAAGAGAGAAAAAAATCGAAGACCATACTATTGGTAAAAGACATCGAGAACGTATTTTCGATGAAATTGGTAAAAGCTGGTAACCACAAAGATAAAAGTACATCGAGAATCAAAATCGAGAATCGAAAAAACAAAATTTCGATGCCTATTGTTGAAGTTAGAATAGTACAAAATTAAAGAGGATCAAAAGCAAAATTTAAAATACTCGATGTCTGAAATCGAGATCGAGGGAGCGGTTAACACACACAAGGAACGTGAGAAACAGTTTCTAAATCGCGACAGAAATCGAAGAAGGAGCAATTTCCTTATACGTAAGAACGTGGAGTGCAGTTTTTAAAACGGTAAGACTAAAAGAACGGACACGTAAGATTGTGGCAATAGTGGTATTAACCACTCTTGGGAGGTTACTTGAAGGATGCTCTATAAATAGAGCGAAGACTGGAAAAGGAGGAGGAAATTGGCAGAGAGAACAGAAATACTAGTGAGAAGTCTACCGGAGAACGACGCAATCATGAAGTTTCTGGCGATCTGAATTTCCATTTTCATTGACTGCCTTTATTACTTTCTTTACTTTCCCTGGTAATTTATATTCATGTATTTTTAAGTTTCTGTACTTTCGATTACTTGTCATTTACCTTAATGCAATTTAAGTTTCTGTATTTTTGATTACTTGTCATTTACCTTAATGCAATTTAAGTCTCTATACTTTCGATATCTTATCATTTACCGTTTGTGCAATTTTGATTTCCTGTTATTCTTTTTCTTATAATTTCGATTTCCTGTTATCTATTTTTCTGCAAAGTTCGATTTTTTGCTTATTTACAATCCTGCAATTTTCGATTCCTTGTCATTTACACTTAATGCAATTTTGAGGTTTCCGCACTTTACATTTTCTGCAATTTAATATTTCTTCGCAGCTTTATATTCTGTACTGCTTTTCGATTTGACATTTTACTGCTTTCTTTATTTAGAGTGCTTTAAATACAAAATACCAAAAATAGCGTTTTTGATTGTCATTAGGTTACATTAAGATTTGTGGTACTTTCGATTCTCATACATATTTCGATTGAAAACCATTTGCTAGCCTAAATAAAAAAGAATCTACGTGGTTAGAATTTGGTTAGAACAAAATTCTCTAGAAATTGAAATCGATCAAAATTCCACCGAAAACAGTTAGATATGAAAATAATCACTTATATAATTATGGAACACTTTTAAAGATTATGAAAGAGGAAAAAAATGATTTAAAATATGAAACAACAAATATCAAGGAGTTAGATGTATAAAATCCGTAAAAATAATAAATAAAAGAAGAAAAGGAAACAAAATTAATAATATAAAAAGTAGGATGAGCAAGGGATGATTAACCCTCAAAGTGAACAACTTTTAACTTTTATTTAATTTTAATCATTATAAAAAGTAAGAGGCCATATATATATATATATATATATATATATATATATATATATATATATATATATATATATATATATAGACATAAGAATTTTAGAGAAAATTATATTAAAGATTCTAAAAGTACATTGTATCCTAATTTTAACTTAGAAGGGATTGTTTCTATGTTTTGTCTTTCAAGATAGTAACCTTTTTCATTTAAAAAGTTAATGATTAACCTTCTCTTCCTTCGTGAGGCTCATGTTCAGTAGAGTTCAAAATATATGTTTCTTTTAGTAATTTTAAAAAATAATAATTAAATACAAGTATAGAAAATTAAGGAAAAATACTAAAGACATCTCTAATAAAAGCATCCACATAAATTGGTTCTTATCTTAAAAAATATAAAAGAAAGATTTATGATAACATATCATTTTTAAGTAATTTTCTATTAATTTTCTCTATTAAAAGTTTTTTTGGTAAATTTTTAAAAAATATTATCCATTGAGTAAATACATGTTTAGTATTCTATAAAGATATTTCATATTTTAGTAAAGGTGGATGTATACTTTTCAAGCATAAAATATTTATTCTTCCTTATTATTTAAAAATATTGGTTTGTATTGGAAGTTGGTTATACAAGCTTATGATTCATCATTTCAGTAAAGATGACATATTTTGACTTATAATTTCTTTTCGGTTTTTAATCAACTTTTACGTATAAGACCAAGATGTCAATGTTAACAATTTAAATTAAATTATACTGTGAATAGCCAAAGTGTAAAGTAAATTAATGTTTTTTCTATGAGTATAATGAATTTTTAAATTATTTTTTGAAACTCTCAATTTGAAAGCAGATTTTTTTTTTTACTTTAAAAGAATACAATTTCTGTGGTCTGATCTGGTCCCAATAAGACTTTTGTGGGTATTTTGATCCTATAATTTTTTTTTATATGAACTTTTTTGCTGTTGTGGACTGTTTTAGCTCTAACCCATGTGAATAGGATCATGTCTTATGAGCTGGACCATACTAATATGTATGCAGATTTAGGTCATTTTTTCGTATAGATTTTGATTAATAATATTGTATTCAAACTCAACCATTATAAAGATTTTTTTTTTTATGAAACCATGCAATTTTTTTATGGCTTGAATAAATTTTGGATTTCTAATGTAAGACTAATTTTTATTTTAGAGTATTCAATAATTTTTTTCTTCAAATTAGGAACCCATAATAAATTCTTATATTATAGCTTAAGTCCCTATAATATTTATTTGTATTTAATATTTATTAAAATGTTAATTTTTTTTGTGATATCCCTTAAATATTTTTAGATTTGTTTGTTGCTCCTTCAACTTTATTTGTATCATAACAATCAATTTTTTTCATCATATTATGACATATTTTTGTACATGTAACAAAAGACATTTAATACATATAATTCTTCAATATTATAGATCGTGTGACACATGTTTCAATATAACGAACATGTAGGTAAGAAAATTGATAGGAATAAGGTGAGAAACTTCAACCAAAATTCTTATTGGGTACTCAAACCATTGATAATATATTAAAGACCCTAAATCTTTAAATATGGATGATTTATTGAGTTTTTTTCTTATTATACTTCAAGACCATCTAAAGTTCACAAATAATTCGACCATGTGTATAAACATAACTTTCCTAGATATAACTAGAATTATATATGTTCAAAATAATAAGGATGTATATAATTTTGGACAGAAACAATTATGTTTCTCATAAACCAATCACCACCAACAAAATTTCGTTTAAAAACAATAATGAAGATTGGAAGAGAAAACTAATTGATCATTCATCTTTGCATGTGTTTAGATGTTGTATATGGTGTACAACTTTCGATAAAGAATAAAGGTAGATCGAAAGTGTAGGAAATGTATTGAGTTATGATAACATTGTTAAAGAATGAAGGTAGAACCAATCTCATAAGATGATTATTAGTAGATATGTAATTTTTGTTGAAAATAAACTAAAAAAAAATAATGACAACATTATCAAAAATACTATTTATAATGCAAATGGATAATATGTTTAAAGATGATTCTTCTAAAGTATGTATGATAAGAGCATGAAGTGCAGTAGCCAAATGAGGTCAACTGTGGTGTTAACAGACAAAATAAATAAAATTAAAATCATATATTTAGAATTTATATTAAATAAGTGATTAGTAAATTTATAATAAATTATTATAAAAATATTAGAGTATTGTTAAAAGGGTATTTAAAATGTTAAAAATTTAAATATTATATTGTGTTTTGGATTGTACTCCCCTGTATATTATAATGTTAACGTATATTTAGTTAATGTG